TTCCTCTACACTGCCATCACTTCCCTCACCTCAGCTACTGTTCCCCATTTCTCTGGATTCTCTTTACTTCAAAATTCTGTGTATCCTGATATTTTCCAGGTTCATTCTAATCAGAATTTTACCCTAATCACACTTTAAAACCCCTATTACAGTCATAGAGGTCCTTCCTTTTACTAAATCCATAGGTTAATAGTCAATCCATGATGGGTACTTAAAGGCAACAGCATTCAACACTTCTTCACCATCTTTCTCCTTGTGAAAAAATTCTCCACGTGCTCTCAGCCCCCCGCCTGTTCATGTCTTTTGCTGGTTTACTCTCATCACTCTGAGGTGAAGTTAACAGCAAACCAGGACTCAGATCTTCCCAAAATGTGTTTATCAACACGCTCTAAAATTCATCTAGTCAGGATTTCTCAACCTTGGCACGATTCACATTTTGAGACCAGATATCTCTGCTGTGGGAGGCCGTTCTGTGCATCAGAGAACATTCCGTGGCGTCCTTAACCTCTACTCATCACATGCCAATAGTAGCCTTAACTATGATGTCAAAAAGGTCTCTCTAGACATTGTCAAAAGCCCCCCTTTGTCATTTCTGGTTGAGAACCACAGACCTCATCCTTGGCTTTAAATACTATTGAAAAATTGATGCTTTTGAACAGTGGTGTTGAAGAAGACTCTTCAGAGTCCCTTGGACTGCAAGGAGATCCAACCAGTCCATCCTAAAGGAGATCAGTCCTGGGTGTTCATTGGAGGGACTGATGCTGAAGTTGAAACTCCAATACTTTGGCCACCTCATGCAGAGAGTTGACTCATCGGAAAAGACCCTGATGTTGGGAGGGATTGGGGGCAGGAGGAGAAGGGGATGACAGAGGATGAGATGGCTGGATGGCATCACCGACTAAATGGACATGAGTTCGAGTAAACTCTGGGAGTTAGTGATGGACAGGGAGGCCTGGCGTGCTGTGATTCATGGGGTCGCAAAGAGTCAGACATGAATGACCGACTGAACTGAACTGATATACACTGGCGGCTGTATAACTTGTCTGTAGCCTGAAACTCTCCTCACACTGCCTTCTCATTATCTCCAATTATATATCTAATCAAGTACATCTCACTTAACACATCAAAACTAGACTTCTGACATACACCCCAACCCATATGTACCCTGCTCACCTTGCTTGGCATCTCTCTTGTTCTCAACTCTCACACTTTTATTCATCAGTAAAACCTACTGGCTCTGCCTTCAAAACATATCCCAATTTCTTACTACAATTTGACTATAATTTCTTACTACCTCTACTGCTACCAGTCCAACCCAAGCTGGCATTAACTCTGAAATCCTAACAGTCTCTCTGCTTCCACCCTAGTTCAGTGGTTCTTACCTGGGAACTTGTTAGAAATGAAAATTCTCCTCCAAGCCTAGGACTAGCAAATCAGAAACTCTAGGAATGGGACACAAAAATTTACTACTTACCTGTCCCCATCTCTCCTATCAATCCCTACACTACTTTCTCCCTAGCTCACCTTGACCGTCACACTGAACTGCCTGAGTTCTAGAAACACATTCAGAACATTCACATTACAGCACATTTTCATTAGCTGCCTCTCTTCCTGAAAAACTATTCACCCTCCCAGATATTCCTCAAGTCTCTAGTTAAATGTCACCTTTTTCAGTGAGGCCTTTTCTGACTACCCTACATAAAACAAAATACCTTCTTCTTGAATTAGTCTCCTTAATCTTAGTTTTTCACCAAAGCACTTGTCACTACCTAGCAGGCCACATATATGTTTTGTTTACTGTTTCCCTACCTTCCACTGTGTAAACCCCATATGGAGAGAACTTTGTTTTATTTACTCCTATGCTTTGAGCAACTAGAAAAGAACCTGTTACTCAACAGATGTTCAATAAATGTTCCCTTTCTGAAGCAAAATGGTTGTGTATGGTTGACTAGAGGAAAGATACAAAGAAGTTGAGGAGAACCACTTTATGTTACTTAAGTAACTGCCAAGAAGATTTCAGAGCAGAAAAACAAACAAAAATCCTCCAAATTATAAGTGAATGAAAGAAGCAGAATGCAGCAGTTAACATTTCAGAGTATATCAACTGGTTAGCCAAGTTTAGGAAAACTACAAAACTGATCCCAGAGGCACAGTAGGCTTTATATAAGCCAAAGAAGATATGAAATTCCAAAGGAGAGAATACCATCTGCATATTAGAGAAGCAGACATTTGCTAAGTGTAATTTTCCCCAAGTGTGTTTTCACTGGATCTACCAAGAAGAACAGTTAAGTGAAAAGGACAGCAGAGAATAGGACAAAGTTGTATTATAAAAGTTTCCTTAATGTAGGACTTATTGACTTAATTAACATGTTTAATGTTAAGAGAGGAAGTATGATATGCACGTTTCTCTGCCTTAACACAAACTTGTTTTGCACAAGGACACAGACATGTGCTCTAGCTTCACTTTTATCACTAATATTAGTAACATTTTTATCTGTCCTATTTTGTTGTAATTTTTCTACTAAATTAACATAGTAATAAACTCCTTTCATGATTACATTTAGGCCAAGTCTGAAACACCAATTTTGAATAAACAGAGGCAAGTTTTCATTTATCTCACTTGGGAAATAAAATCCTGAAATGTTATTTTCATCACTCAACCCAATATGAGAACAATTTAAGTCTACAGTATTTTAGGAGGGTTTTTGTTTGTTTGTTTGTTTGTTTGTTTTTAAGGCTTTGGAGAATTTTAAGTCTTAAACTTCTTAAAAGATATTCACATCTAAGATGAACATACCAGAAACAAACAGCAACAAAAAATCACACCAGGGTGACAACTAAAAGGTTCTTAAGAATCACCTAGGGGGTGTGCCACACAGGCCCCACCACCACTTTCAGTCATGATGCCGACTCCAAACAACTAGTCAAGAACCAAAAAGAGCAAGCAAAAGCCCAAGTCACCTGATGTCCCAGTTGGTTCTCTTTCTAACGCACAATATAGTATATACACACATAATTTAACTGAGGAAACAAAAAATTAATGAAAAATAATCTCAAGTGTAGGAAAATCTGGGGATCAATCAATTCCAGCAGTCTTTAAAAGACATGATTACCGAAAGTAAATTGAAGACATCTTTTTCTTTCTACAAAAAAGGCAAGACAAACAAGTGTAAAAGCTAGAGATTTATTGTTATTTTGTGATTAATAAATTGTCAAACTGGTTATGACACTACCCCACACTGTATGCCACCAATTGCTAGTACAAAAGTTTTAAAACCATACTGAGGCATAAGGCAGAGAGAGCAGAGACACACAAAGATCATCCTTAACAAGTTCCTCTTAGTCATGCCTCCATCTTAATTAACCTTTGTACCTGTTTTATTCCAGGGGACAGTGTCAAAACAGTGCACGAAATGGTGGGCAACCTGCCTCTTTACCTTTTTTAATAGCAAGCAACTGACAGAAGTAATGGAATTCAACTTGTATTTTCCCTTGATTTTACTGGTCTGAATTAATTTTAGTTACTTTAACATTTTAATTTCCCTTAACTGTACATGAGAGAATATAATGACCTAAGAGAATACTGAACCAGAGTCAGCTAAATATGTCACTGACCCCAAAGTTAGGTTTTAATTGGTCCTAAAGGAATGTACCACCCCAACAGTTTGAGAGTTAGGCAAACAGAATTTCCTTGGGGAGGGAAGAAAAAAGCTGTAGGACAGCCAAGCGTGCTCAGCATTGTTAAACGGCTCTTTGTCGTCACCCCTGAATGACTACACTATATGCACAGGAATCCTAACAGAATCTTGGTTGCCAGCATTATTTAGGCTGGCCCAATCCAGGACAGAACCCCACCCCACCCCCAAAATTCCCCTTCTCTCAGGCTCTGAAAAGCACAATATTTAACTATTTCTTAATAGAACTACCAAAACACTTCAGAAACAAGTGGCTCACAAATCATTTTAAATTCGTGTATTGCCTGTGCATGAGAAAACCGATAAACCCAGAAGATAGTTCTATTTTTATATGGCGATTAAAAATAACTGAAACATCAAGACACTTTCAGTGAAAGCAACATTTCAATTACAAATTGTAATGCCTGTTAAACTACCTATGGGAGAAGCTGAAAGTCCTAGCAAATGCACTTTGGGGTTATACTACAGTGCTCCTTCAGTCTGCACAAAGATTAAGGTAATTTACAGTCAATCTGTGAATGCTGAGACAATGTTACATCATCTTGTCTGTACAATTAATACGTCCTCAAAGAGACAACCAGAATCAGTTTTTCTACTGTATTTTCAACAAGCCTCACTAACCAGTACTTTTGCTGAGATGTTTATCAAAGATGCTGTAAGATTCTACACAATTAAGAAATACTCCACTTTGAAGTATTTCCTTATCTTTATTTTTTCCATTACAGATGTTTTGCTCAGATTATCTACTGTAGTATGTTTCTAGAGATGGCGTCCCAAATGTGCATACATACACTGTATACAAATAAAGAAAAATTGTCAGTAGTATAAATCTTACAGCATTTTTGTTTGCAAAAATACATGCCAAAGTCACGATAAGCAATGTTGTATCACAAATTATAAAGCGCAAATGATCTGCTTCTTTTTAATGCTTTTATTCTACATAAATTACTACCAGAGACTAATGTTTAAAAAGCAAATAAACTGGACAGATGCAGGACAAAAATCTGTTCACCCAACTATAAAAGGTGATATGTTTTTAAAAATTACAATAAATGCATAAGTGTTTGACGCATGCAGTAGCCTTAAATGAAAAAGTATTGATTCCCACTGTTCCAGGAAAACAAAAAACAAACACAGTGAAACCCACACATCTTACTGCACTCCACCTTAAAATGTATCATATATTGGGTTTGTTTATAACAGCACAGAATTCCAAGAGTCAAAATGAAATAAAGCGGGTATTTTAAAGATTTAAGAGCCGTTATCAAAAATAAATTACATTTTTTTCAAGATACAGAAATGCTGCTATGATGGCTGAGAGCCCAGTAACCTTTCAATAGCCGCATTGATATCACCTCCTGTGGCTATTAGCGCTTGCAAGTTTGCTTCACGGTTCAAAAATCCCATTGCACTGAGCTGTTCCAGTTGCTGCTGAAATCTAACTTCTGGATTCTGTAGCTGTTAAACAAAAACAAACCAAAGCTCTAAGGAAAATCAGTCCATGTCACACCTGAATAATCTTTAAAAATTTTAATTGCTTTTTAATATTTGCTAATCTATCAAGTGATATAAAAGCACTGGCCTCTCTTGAAACATATTCAACATATTTAAAAGTCCAATGAGTACTTTATTTACAGAGGAAGCCCAGCCTGGTGTTCTGGTACAACTTAGACAGGTGGGAGGGAGGCCCAAGAGGGAGGGGATACACATACAATTATCACTGATTCGTATTGTTGTACAACAGAAACCAACACAACATTGTAAAGCAACTATCCTCCAATTTAAAAAGTCAAGAAACTAAAAATATATAAATAATGGAAAATAAAATATTATTAAAAAATAATTTAAAAAAAAATTTTGGAGCTATCGACCAATTGGGTAATTGTAAAAGCCAGTGTCCTCATGTATAAAATTCTCAAGTTCTAATCTAATGAGGCTTAGAATGTCTTTAATTTCTGTATCAGCCAGTCAAGTCTTCAGAAAAAAGTTCCAGTTTCAGATGTACTTACTATACTCCTCATTTTTTCAGCTGCATCTCCTTTTCAGAAATGACATACTACAGAAATACATAAATGATCACTCAATTCTGGGCAACATGATAATGGTGAGGACTATAGATTGTTCAACTTAGATAACAATTCTGCCCAATACGTAAAATTGCTTTTTCCGATTAATTCGAAGAACATTTACTGAGTCAGCAAGTCATGCTAGTTATCAGGAATACAAATCCTCATATAAGATAAAACTCTGACCTGTTTATTGTATTTAAAAAGGCTTAAAATTAAAAACTATGCTGTATTTTCACCACGTAGTAGTTTGAGCACAATCTACTGTAACAGGTTTGAATTTGCAATCATCTGTAAAAATGGCATATTCTTAGTAAATAAATGATTCTAGAGGCAAGAACATTAGGAGTTCACATTTTGTTAGCCATATTTGTGAGGTATGTATGTGTAACACAAGTCACCATAGGAAGCAGTACCAAGTGGGGTGAAGTACTTACAACTTTTAAGCCAAAATACAAAGAGCAGATAGAATACAGCTGTTCACAAGGTATGTGGAATAACCAATTTCTATTCCTCCCTGACAAACTTTTATAAAATATAATCTACTTCAAACAGTTTTCTAACATGGACTCCAAAACAGAATGCATTTTAAAAAGCAATTTCCAAAATGACAGCAGAGCATTTCTTCCCTACAACTTAACATTTCCTTTAATGTCTAACATAGCACCCAAGTTAACAGTTATAATGCCTATTTTTTAGAATCAATATAGTTAAGAACAAACTTTTCATTACAAGCTAAGCCCCCAAAGATGACCACTTTTCTCTACTTTTTTGAAACGTCTACCACTAAGAAGAGCAGAAAAGAATCATTACCTGAGGATTCACTCCAGCAAGAGCCTGCAGCATTTGCTGGATAAACTGCTGGTGCCCAGGTTCGGTGGCTCCTACTGTGGGACTTGGGTTTTCGCTAGATGCAGAAGTAGAGCCATTGGTTCCTGAAGAGCCTCCAGTACTTCCCAATGCCCCCAGGCCAGGAGTAAACCTAGAGAAAGCACCAACTGTTAGTGAATCTAAACTCCTAAAAATAAGAGGACAGACCAGGCTGGCTAATGGCAAATTAGTTACAATTCAACATAATGTTAGATAAGTTATCTTCTTAAAGGAAGCATTTTTAACTTTGAAAACTCTCTTACAATCTCAACCCAAAATAAGAATGGCCATTAAATCTGAAATTCTCAGAGAAAATAAGCACTGTGCACGTTCACAGTCTTTCCCAAAGAAGCCTACCCTGGAATGAGGCCGGGGGCTTCAGTTGCTAAGGTCTGTAAACCCTGCTGAATCTGTAACAAGGCCTGCATTGCTCTAGGGTTTGACATTGCCGATAACGTATCAGGATTCTGCATCTAAGAAAGAAAGAAAACCAGTGGTTACGAGGGAATTAAAATTAGAGAAGGTAAAATGAAATATTCTTTGCTATGCTTCTTGAGAAAATCTAAAACCTTACTCCTAGACACTGGAATCCGTAATTTCTTTCCCAATATAAACACAAGCACCTCCCCTTTGACAGCAATCTCATGTGTGAATCATCACTTGACCTCCTCCCAAGTCCATTGTGAAAACCATTTTTCATAATGAAACACAATCAGGAGCTCCTCTGGAAGCCACAGTTGTTCCTCGTTTTCCAACAGATAAAAAGAGTTGTTTCTAAGAGACGACCTCCAAATGCACAGTTTATATCACATGGTAATATGGTGAAAGCCACACATTCCTCCTTGACCAAGTGTTAATCTGTTGTTGATGGAACAATTTTACCAATCAGATACACTCTAAGACAATAGTTCCAAAGTTGAAGTTAACACATGTGTTGGTTCAGCTTCACTACTTCCAAATATACGCCACCTGACTAGCCAAAAAAAGATAGGCCTACATCATTACAATAAACCAAGGACACTGACTAACCTTAGATAATGGTTTATAGGTCAGAGGATCATTTGGGTAATATTTAAAAGCCCTTCCTAGAACTACCAGTTTCAAAACACCAAGACTGACTCCTCTTTTCTTTTTAAATAGTAACATACCATGGCAATCTCAAGTACTTTTTAATTAAAATAACTTCCTTATATGACAAGACTGACAATTTTAATCTTGCTAATTCCAAGTTTGAGGAATGAGATCTACCCCTTGGAAAACAGGCATTCTATTAATTTAGAGGAATTAAAACATTACGAAGAAACCAAACACGTAAAGGGTAGCTCTCTTCCTGTTACTCGAGATTAGTTAAACCGTAAAGCATAGCATGACACAATGAAGAACTTCAAAGTTAGTAAAGTGAAAGGAAATGGTTTATGATATTAACAAAGCATTCAAAATCCTAAAAATCCTCAAAAGCAAAAACCAAATGGTCCTTTCCTCAGAATTTGAATTTTTAAAAATAGAAGCAAAAGGTCAGCAGTGAAATGGGGCTCAATTAAAAATCAAGCTGAATTCTCTGCAAATTGACAGCAGACTCTATTCTACATTTTGCTATCAGCCAGAGAAAAAGCAAGGAAAATGTTTACCATCAAACTTTTTCAAGCAAATCATTACCGAAGACAGCTAGCATCTTCTCTTACTCACTTGTTGAAGGAAAGTTGGGAGCTGTTGTCTCATTTGTTCTTGAAGCTGAGGATTTCCAGCAAATAGGGGATTATTCAGCATCATCTATGGGGCAAGTGTTCAAACAATTTTAACTGGAAATATCTGAAACAAGTAATGTACCTTGTTTAATAGTCTATCTTCCCCCCCAGTGCCTAACCTGGCACTTAACAGGGAGGAAGGTAGAACATGAATAAAAAAGGGAAGATACTGTCCACAAGAGGGATCTCCAGAAAAAACAAAAACGAGACATCTCTCTCAATGAGAATGGTGATTATGATAATGTCATGCGATATCCTAAAAAATAAAAGCAATCATTTTCTTAGGCTTTTCCTTGAGTAAAGGTGAATATTTGCCCTTGAAAGAAAAATGGGAGTAACTGGAATTCATGAAGATACATTTTCTGCTACACTCACAGAATAAACGTAAGCATCAATACCTGGAACTATATATGGCTTGCACAGACACCTCAACACACAAGTGGCAAGCACAGAGAAAATCCAGATCTGGAACCACTATATTTACCTGCCTACTGCAAAAGAGCTAATATTAGGTCCAGAAAAATAACACCGCAGAACAGCAACCAACTTGCCAGAGAAATGGAGCTGCCAGGTGAAATCAGCCTAGGACTAGAACCAATAGATCTCTGGGGATAAAGTGTTAAAATGCTTTAGTAAGACCTAAACCATGTAAATCATTTGAGAACACCAAAAGTAGCCTCTAGATTTCACCTCACTACCACCAGAGATGGAAAAAATGGCATGCCTCCTAACCTTCAAATGGGTGTTTAATGAGTTAAATGAGTTAAAAAGTCAAAGTCAGGGCCAATATTAATGTGTTGTATACCTAAAAATAAGATTACAATACACAATAGCATAACCAGAAACTAGTAAATTCTCACAGCTTCAAAAGAGACAAATTTTATATCAGTTTCCCCAAACAGTGAAAAGTCAACTAACAATGATTTACTGATAGCCTATTTACCAGTCCACATCCAAAGTCTGGTGGGGAGTGGTGTGGAGGATGATTCCTGCCCTCAAGTATTAATAATTAACTGTATGTGAGAGTATTTAATGTTAATTGCTAAAAGTAGAGAGAATTCCTCCCTCCCTCCCTCAGTTTATCAACTGTTGCAAAGTAGACTTAGTTAATTTCAACAAAATAAGATAGGAAGAAGTCAGACAAGTTTTATGAATATACGGCATTTATTTCGAAGTGACCAGTAAGTTCACAGTAGATAAAGTAAAATCTAATTGAGGCCAACAAACCTGCTTCTTTAATGGCTCCAGTCAATAAAGTTATCACATTTATCTTTTAGGACTCATGTTATTTGAAAAAGTGTGTCATCTTAAGCTGATTCATACTTTCTCAGAAAATTGTTATTGCATTTGATTAAGATTTTTCTCCTAACTTACCTGACTGTATAAACAGTTTTTACAATCAGACTTTTTTGAATACCTAAAAACGAAAATCAGAATAGAGAAACTACAAACTTTAATACACTGGTAACCACAGTACATTGTAAATGTTTCTAACAATTATCCATCAATATTGTAAAAGCCAATTCACATCTAGCTTACTTTTATTTCAACCTTTTGCTTTAGAGTAAAACAAGCAACATACAAAAGTGCTCAAGTGACTTTATAAATGTAAAACTGTTAGTTTAAATGGCTGGGAATGTGCTTGTTAGAGTCAAAATTTTAAAGCAAGATGCACATTTAATGATTATTAAATAAGCAAATATGTATTTAAAACCATACAAACAGGATCACTCTGATACATATTTTCCACATTTATTTTAAACTAAAGTGCTATCATCACAGTAAGCTGAAGCATTTAATACTAATAAATCATTTTCTAATGAATAAAACAATATTTCATAAAGTAACCCTACAATATACAAATTATAAGTATATGTAAATTTATCTAAAAACACCTTTATTTCCAATTTTACAAATTTTAAGAGAATAGAAGTTATTACTGAGGGTTGCTAACTCAAACATATCTGCTATACACTTGAATCAACATGGTTCCAGATTTTAGAAATGTAAAAACTATCTCATTTGATATAATGAAGAAAGTGATTTAACTTTAAGAGCTCTTACAATTTTGGAAATGGAGAGAGACTATTACAGGAAACTATTTTAAATTCCCAACATTCCACAGAAACCATTTTTAATAAACAGCAAATATAAATTATAGACGATCAAAGTTTAGTTCATATGCTCTAAGGGTGTTCAAGCCCAATGGTTCTTAACTTACGGGTACATCAGAATCACTTAGGGAACTTGGAAAAAAAAATCCAATACAGTTATATCAAACTGAGAATGGGGCTAAAAAACAGTTTTTTTAATCTTAAAATTTTCAAGTTATCCTAAACATTCAGCTAGGGTTGAGATTCACTCATTTTTTTTAGTTAAGGTCTCTTCTGAAACAAGTTAGAAAATAATTACTTGATGAAGGACCAGTGTACTAACTTTGGATAGAGATCTATAGTGGAAAGAATGAGAATACTGTTCCCACATATCTCTCTGCCCATACTGAACAATTTCAGACTATTTTATAACTGACATTTTGAACATGACTAATACTCAGAATCTGTGTGATCTAATAAATAAAAGTCTTTCAAATGTATTAACACTTCTTAATCACTTTCAAGATTTACATTACACTGAAGAGTACTGTTTCTGAAGCGCTATTTTGAAGAATAGGCTTCAAAAGGGAAAGCAATCAGAAACTTTTCTATTCTCCTACATGAACACATGTAGATATAAAGTAAACCTGAACTTCCTTCTAGCCAGCGGACAGAGGAAATGAAGCTGCTTTATTATATTATGAAGTATTAACTTACTGTAAAGAAAAAAACTGTCCAAAAAATTGGGAGATGCAATTTGCTTCTCTAGTGTGTTAAGGCAGCACACACAAAATAAACGCGCCAAAATCACAATGATTTGGTTAGGCCATTTCAATACACAGTGCTCACAATGATAAACTCACCTGTGCAGCAAGGTCAGGGTTCTGGCTTAGTGACTGCATCATGCTTCTCATGTAGGGGGCCGACAACATGTTTTGCATAAGTTGTGGGTTTTCAGTTATTTGCTGCAACAAGCTCTGCATTCCTGGTGTATTGAACATACTAGCTGGAAGTTTTTTTAAAAAGAAGACATTTTATCAAGGGAAAGATAAATAAAAGAAAGTTTTAAAACAATAATTTTGGCAATTTTATACAAACATACCTATTAGTTATCAAGTGAACTAAAAGAATTTTTATTTACTTTTTTTTGATTTAACTTTTTTTTTTCCATTTATTTTTATTAGTTGGAGGCTAATTACTTTACAACATTGCAGTGGTTTTTGTCATACATTGAAATGAATTAGCCATGGATTTACATGTATTCCCCATCCCGGTCCCCCCTCCCACTTCCCTCTCCACCCGATCCCTCTGGGTCTTCCCAGTGCACCAGGTCCGACCACTTGTCTCATGCATCCAACCTGGGCTGGTGATCTGTTTCACCCTAGATAATATACATGTTTCGATGCTGTTCTCTTTTTTTTTTTTTTTTACATTTTATTTATTTATTTTTTTGTTTCACAACCATAGTGTATCTTTTTTTTTTTTTTTTAACATGTATTCCCCATCCCGGTCCCCCCTCCCACCTCCCTCTCCACCCAATCCCTCTGGGTCTTCCCAGTGCACCAGGCCCGAGCACTTGTCTCATGCACCCAACCTGGGCTGGTGAACTGTTTCACCCTAGATAATATACGTGTTTCGATGCTGTTCTCTTGAAACATCCCACTCTCGCCTTCTCCCAGAGTCCACAAGTCTGTTCTATACATAGGAGTCTCTTTTTCTGTTTTGCACATAGGGTTATCATTACCATCTTTCTAAATTCCATATATATGTGTTAGTATACTGTAATGGTCTTTATCTTTCTGGCTTACTTCACTCTGTATAATGGGCTCCAGTTTCATCCATCTCATTAGAACTGATTCAAATGAATTCTTTTTAATGGCTGAGTAATATTCCATGGTGTATATGTACCACAGCTTCCTCATCCATTCGTCTGCTGATGGGCATCTAGGTTGCTTCCATGTCCTGGCTATTATAAACAGTGCTGTGATGAACATTGGGGTACACGTGTCTCTTTCAGATCTGGTTTCCTCGGTGTGTATGCCCAGAAGTGGGATTGCTGGGTCATATGGCAGTTCTATTTCCAGCTTTTTAAGAAGTCTCCACACTGTTTTCCATAGTGGCTGTACTAATTTGCATTCCCACCAACAGTGTAAGAGGGTTCCCTTTTCTCCACACCCTCTCCAGCATTTATTGCTTGTAAACTTTTGGATAGCAGCCATCCTGACTGGTGTGTAATGGTACCTCATTGTGCTTTTGATTTGCATTTCTCTGATAATGAGTGATGTTGAGCATCTTTTCATGTGTTTGTTAGCCATCTGTATGTCTTCCTTGGAGAAATGTCTGTTCAGTTCTTTGGCCCAGTTTTTGATTGGGTCATTTATTTTTCTGGAGTTGAGCTGGAGGAGTTGCTTGTATATTTTTGAGATTAATCCTTTGTCTGTTGCTTCGTTTGCTATTATTTTCTCCCAATCTGAGGGCTGTCTTTTCACCTTGCTTATAGTTTCCTTTGTTGTGCAAAAGCTTTTAAGTTTCATTAGGTTCCATTTGTTTATTTTTGCTTTTATTTCTAAAATTCTGGGATGTGGGTCATAGAGGATCCTGCTGTGATTTATGTCGGAGAGTGTTTTGCCTATGTTCTCCTCTAGGAGTTTTATAGTTTCTGGTCTTACATTTAGATATTTAATTCATTTTGAGTTTATTTTTGTGTATGGTGTTAGAAAGTGTTCTAGTTTCATTCTTTTACAGGTGGTTGACCAGTTTTCCCAGCACCACTTGTTAGAGGTTGTCTTTTTTCCATTGTATATCCTTGCCTCCTTTGTCAAAGATAAGGTGACCATAGGTTCGTGGATTTATCTCTGGGCTTTCTATTCTGTTCCATTGATCTATATTTCTGTCTTTGTGCCAGTACCATACTGTCTTGATGACTGTGGCTTTGTAGTATAGTCTGAAGTCAGGCAGATTGATTCCTCCAGTTCCATTCTTCTTTCTCAGGATTACTTTGGCTATTCGAGGTTTTTTGTATTTCCATACAAATTGTGAAATTATTCGTTCTAGTTCTGTGAAAAATACCGTTGGTAGTTTGATAGGGATTGCATTGAATCTGTAGATTGCTTTGGGTAGTATAGCCATTTTGACAATATTGATTCTTCCAATCCATGAACACGGTATATTTCTCCATCTGTTTGTGTCCTCTTTGATTTCTTTCATCAGTGTTTTATAGTTTTTATGTATAGGTCTTTTGTTTCTTTAGGTAGATATACTCCTAAGTATTTTATTCTTTTTGTTGCAATGGTGAATGGTATTGTTTCCTTAATTTCTCTGTTTTCTCATTGTTAGTGTATAGGAATGCAAGAGATTTCTGTGTGTTAATTTTATATCCTGCAACTTTACTGTATTCGTTGATTATCTCTAGTAATTTTCTGGTAGAGTCTTTAGGATTTTCTATGTAGAGGATCATGTCATCTGCAAACAGCTAGAGTTTCACTTCTTCTTTTCCTATCTGGATTCCTTTTACTTCTTTTTCTGCTCTGATTGCTGTGGCCAAAACTTCCAAAACTATGTTGAATAGGAGTGGTGAGAGTGGGCACCCTTGTCTTGTTCCTGATTTCAGGGGAAATGCTTTCAGTTTTTCACCATTGAGGGTGAGGCTTGCTGTGGGTTTGTCATATATAGCTTTTATTATGTTGAGGTATGTTCCTTCTATTCCTGCTTTCTGGAGAGTTTTAATCATAAATGGATGTTGAATTTTATCAAAGGCTTTTTCTGCATCTATTGAGATAATCATATGGTTTTTATCTTTCAATTTGTTAATGTGGTGTATTACATTGATTGATTTGCGGATATTAAAGAATCCTTGCATTCCTGGGATAAAGCCCACTTGGTCATGATGTATGATTTTTTTAATATGTTGTTGGATTCTGTTTGCTAGAATTTTGTTAAGGATTTTTGCATCTATGTTCATCAGTGATATTGGCCTGTAGTTTTCTTTTTTTGTGGCATCTTTGTCTGGTTTTGGAATTAGGGTGATGGTGGCCTCATAGAATGAGTTTGGAAACATCCCACCTTCGCCTTCTCCCACAGAGTCCACAGGTCTGTTCTATACATCTGTGTCTCTTTTTCTGTTTTGCATATAGGGTTATCGTTACCATCTTTCTAAATTCCATATATATGTGTTAGTATACTGTAATGGTCTTTATCTTTCTGGCTTACTTCACTCTGTATAATGGGTTCGTTTCATCCATCTCATTAGAACTGATTCAAATGAATTCTTTCTAATGGCTGAGTAATATTCCATGGTGTATATGTACCACAGCTTCCTCATCCATTCATCTGCTGATGGGCATCTAGGTTGCTTCCATGTCCTGGCTATTATAAACAGTGCTGCGATGAACACTGGGGTGCACGTGTCTCTTTCAGATCTGGTTTCCTCGGTGTGTATACCCAGAAGTGGGATTGCTGGGTCATATGGCAGTTCTATTTCCAGCTTTTTAAGAAATCTCCACACTGTTTTCCATAGTGGCTGTACTAATTTGCATTCCCACCAACAGTGTAAGAGGGTTCCCTTTTCTCCACACCCTCTCCAGCATTTATTGCTTGTAGACTTTTGGATAGCAGCCATCCTGACTGGCGTGTAATGGTACCTCACTGTGGTTTTGATTTGCATTTCTCTGATAATGAGTGATGTTGAGCATCTTTTCATGTGTTTGTTAGCCATCTGTATGTCTTCCTTGGACAATGTCTGTTTAGTTCTTTGGCCCATTTTTTGATTGGGTCATTTATTTTTCTGGAGTTGAGCTGGAGGAGTTGCTTGTATATTTTTGAGATTAATCCTTTGTCTGTTGCTTCGTTTGCTATTATTTTCTCCCAATCTGAGGGCTGTCTTTTCACCTTGCTTATAGTTTCCTTTGTTGTGCAAAAGCTTTTAAGTTTCATTAGGTCCCATTTGTTTATTTTTGCTAGTTTCCTTTGTTGTGCAAAAGCTTTTAAGTTTCATTAGGTCCCATTTGTTTAGTTTTGCTTAAAAGAATTTTTAAAACTAAGATTTCTAAAACTACATACTCAACGTATACCAATTAAGAAAGGTTTATTGACTTTAAAGATTCTAGTTGCATTTACAGGAAAATCATATCTTACGGAAAGGCTAGGTTCTAAAAAGTCAATTTAAGGCAAAATTTACTACTGAAAAATCTCATTAAGTGAAAATGCCTGAGCCAACTTTTCCTCCAGAATCGCTTACCTAGAATCATATTCAGCACTCAGTATGTTCCCAACTAAAAAAGAAGGAAGCTTTCTCACCCAGGCCTCTGTGACATTTTCACTGAATCCTGGCACTCAATAAATTCAACCCCAAATTAAGGGGCCTTCTTCATACTTCAGTTTCCCCATCTGCAAAATGTAGATACTTGCTACTATTCTTTTTTTTTTTTTTTTGTAGAGAGCTATAACTAAATTTATGTGAATTCAATATTCTTTTGAAATTAATCTGTTCAACATATATTCACATTTTCACTTGCCGACTAGATACTCAAACTCAAATACATTCTCAAACTTTTTCACTCCCCTTATTCTTATTCCATTCAGTGCAGTTTAACAGGCTCAAAGCATTTGACTCTTCCCACTTAACTTTCTAGTTTATTATAATTCTGCAGTTTTTAGTAATTTTTTGTTTTTCCTATTCTCTCATGTTATTTCAATTTACATTACTCTCCCACCCCTGCCACATTCCAGAGACCAAGGATATTCTAAGACAGCGGATGAAGCTAGTCTGCAGGGCAAATATGGCAAGTGACCTGTTTTTGTACAGCCCATGAGCTAAAAATGGTTTTTACACTTTTAAATGATTAAAAAAGTTTTTTTTGTGAAACGTGAAAACTGTATGAAATTCAAACTTCAAGTTCCATAAATAACATTTTGTTGGGACACAGTCATGCTCCCCCAACAAGTCTGGACAGAGGCGCCATGTGGCACTGTCATACTCTACAGAGCTGTTGGGTGAACCACAATCAC